AACCCAGCAAATAAAATGAAATTTTAGGGGGCTGAAATTATACACAAAGGAATTTTGCACAGCTCTCGTAAAAGCAGACATATTTCACTGTCTGGAAAAGCTATAGTTTCTTTTGACAAAATGCAATGAGCTTCTAGTCAGCTATAAAAATGAGTAACTCTACAAGTTTGAACAGAATAATCAATCCTTGTTCAGCCCTGCAACACTACCTAAAATTATTACTGGGGAAAAAAAAAATTTATAATACAATTTTACAGAATGCATTGTTTCCTAGTTTAATAAAAACTGTAGTAATATTGTAACATTTATTGTGCCAACTTCCACTAGAAACTATTACATTATGAATCCCAGAAAGATCAACACGTTTTAAAAACACCATGGTTTTAAGTTTTCAAGAGTTCAGGACAAATTATTATTATTTTTTTAATTAAATATGGTACAAATAAAAAAGAAGAATGCCAAGATTATGTTATCCCATTCTGCTTATGTCACTTTAATGTGGCATGGCAAAAAACATAATAAATTGTCCAATACTGTAGTAGTGCGTTACAAGGATACTATCATATAGTTTAAGTCAAAAGTTTATCTAACTTTTAATTAGTTGTAACCTGGTGGCACCTTTATGTTCTAATTTATTTTGAAACCTCCAACTTTAAAACCCACATAAATAGCTTTTTGAGTCATCAAAATCAGCATGCACGCCACCTGTTAGTTAGTTCAGCAGCTGAAATTAACACATTCTCACAATTGTGCACATTTCTACTGAGAATAATGATGCTGGTGCAAATGCAGGAACAAAGAGCCACAGTGGCACAGAAAGCAGGGCAATTTTGCCAAACAGAAAAGGACACATTTGTTAGGGAAAATGTATTTCCAAATGTCTACAAAAGTAAACAGTTAAGACAGATGAGTTTTAAACATATAAAGCAGTTTTCACTAGTCTATGTCAGTACTAACAATATTCTTGAAATCTCTCTACTTAAAGAAATATTGATACTACAAAGTTATTTGGCTCAGTGCCTGAATTCCGGTTTTTATCTCTTACCCATCACCAAGGTATCTGACCTACTGGGTGAAGTTCTATAGTTTGTGATATGCAGATCAGACTTAAGGATCATAATCATCCCCTTTGTCTAAAAAGATCTAATATTTATAGTTCTTTGGTTGCCTTAATCATCATGTGAATACAATTAATTAAGTAAAGAAAGTCTACTTTATTTCCCTTCAATGTACTCTGCAGTGGCAACCCAAAAACAAAGTATGTTTCTTTTGGGATATTGAAAATTTCTAATTATGAGAGAAAACTTCAAAACCAAATTTTCCCCTACATGGAAATTATCTGGTCTGGGGATAGAAACGATGAGTTTTTCCCCCAACCTTTGTAGACTTACCCTGGCATTTTTGGGTTGACTGTGATGAGGGGCATGAAGCAGTATGGTGTTCAGGGAGAGACAACAGAACATTTACAGAGAGCTCATGTCCCTCAGTCCCAACCCCTCCTTACACAGAAACAGATTCCCAAAGGTAGTCTTCAGTTAGGTCATGGAAAAATGAGAGAGATTAACACATGCCTGCTGAGGGACTGTGGCAAGAGGATCAGCTATTTCCCAACAATCTAAGCATTTTTATGGGTTTTTCTGTAGTATCTAGTTAAGAAAATCTGGTTGGAGGATCCCATGCATTACAACATCAAACCACCCTTAGAGACTTTTTTTTTTTAAATAAAGTGGGCTTCTCAGATTCTCTCACTCTCTATAGGCGACCCTGACATTTTATTTTTTGTTTTAATTTTATAAATATCAGCAGTGTGAACTCTGGTCTTTTCTGGTTTTCCTAGAGGACTGTATGCTTCAGATATACATTAATATTTATATTTCAGTATTGCCTACAGAGCCTAATCATGGTCCAGGACCTCATTCTGCTAGGTACCGTACAGACAAGTAACAAGAATACAGTTCCTACCCCATATAGCTTGCAATCTTGATTTATGACAAGATTGAACAGGTGGATGTGGAAAAAAATAACAGGTCTGGAGAAGGTGGGAAAACAAGGTAACGGTAAAACAAGTGGGTTTTTCAAAGTAGACAGTCGTTTCAGTTCACAATATAAAAATTTTTATATATTTAGCTCTCACACTAATTGAAGATGTTGAGTCTAACAAAATCTTCCTTTATCCAAAGTGTCAGCAATTGAAGTTAAACAGGTGTTTTTAATAACAGTAAATTTTAAACAAATTTTCCCCTCTGAACAACTCAGCTTACAGTCTTTTGTGAGGCCAAAATGTCATATATTCTCCATTCAATTTAGGTTTTGCTTACATTATTGAAATTACACAGAAAAACTCCCACTGTTCCCAACATCTATTTGGCTACAGGGGTGTTAGCAATATTGGAAACCCTAATGTAGATGGTTCTCAGACTCTAATACTATGTCAATTAGACTTGCTCCCTCCGAGGTAGCCATGAACAGTCTTCCAATCCAGACAGGACTCCTATCTCTAACTTAAAAATCAATTGGGAGGGGGAGGGGTAGTGGTGAGGAGAAGAATGTCTTTCAGGACTTCTTTATCCATCATAATGAAGCAACAAATAAAAAGATATATAGGCTCTATTCTTCCTCTGCATCCACCTTTAAAGTTCTACATTTCCGTTATAACATCCCTCCCCTCCTCCAACCCTTGCAATATTTGAAAGAAATTGTGATTTTCATGGCTATAGGTATGACTTTTTGGGTGGGAAAGAGGGAGCTGACAGAGATTCTCCAAGTATCAGAGGTGTTGCTGTGTTAATCTGTATCCATAAAAACAACGAGGAGTCCAGTGACACCTTAAAGACTAACATTTATTTGGGCATAAGCTTTTGTGGGTAAAAAACCCACTTCTTCAGATGCAGATTTCCCCCCCCCACACACACACCCTTCAAATTATAGGTCACTGTTAAAGAAAAAGTAAGGGACTGTGTCCCCTTTTCCTTTTTTTAAAACAATGCATAAGGGAAGCCTAAAAAGTTTGTTTTAATGGGGGCAGAAATGATATCTTCATTAAAGATTCGGTAAACATCCCTTCAGTTAAGGCATGATGGGTAAAGACCTTTGAGGTCCCCAGGAAGTCCTCTAGCAAAACCAGGAAAGACCAGATTCGACATTCCTGTTATTTCTAATGTATAAATAAGATGGGGGGGGGGGGGGGGAGAAGAAGGAGAAAAAAAAATCAGGCCTTTTTATGCATCATAATCCAGCAAGAAAGGCGCACTCTTAACTTTTAAAAAAACACTTACAGGTTATCATTAGTGTCAACAGGACCCTTTCATAATTTAACTTGCATACCTTTAATATTTTCACAATTTTAGGTCATCTAGTGCACATGCATGCTATATTTTTCAAAATCTCTCACATATATTATAATGGAACTGGTGTGCAATAAGGAAGTTTGCTACTCTATTACAATGTGCTATTTTAAAAAAGTAATAAATATCCAAAACATGTAAATATTGAAGTATTTTAAAGATGTTGTTAAAAAACGTAAAGTTAATATTAAAAACTGCATTGGAATAGATGACAGTCAAATTCTGCAGACTTTACTGACACGTCTCTTTAAACCAAGGGCAGTTCTGTCTGAATACCAACTGAGGACTGGGGTCCCTCAAAGGAGGGAGGAGTAGAGATGGTGTCCATATTATCGCTGATGCTAGCCATGGAGGTTCTTTCCTCTAAAATCCAGTGTCCACATCAAAAACAATTATTTAGACCTGGTGTCTAAAGTCTCGTTTATAAATTGTATGTTTGTGTATGAGAGTCCAGACGTACTTTCCATCTCAGCTTGTGCGCACACAAATGGGGGCGGGGTGTGTCTTGTTGAGCACACACTTTCCATCTCAGCAAGCACGTTACACACATTTACACCTAGATGCAGTACGCCGGGCAGGGAGTTCCCCATTACTCGTTAAGCCCACACCCCAGCATGCAATCACAGCTCTGCAGACCGCAATTCCTGCCTAGCGGGGTCCTGGGCTATTCTTATTCACTCTTAGCCATCTTAGATCGGGTTCACACCGGCCACATGGTCACTTCTTCCTCCCGCCCCCAAGTGAAGGGCCCGGTTCCTCCCGCGGCCTCTGGGCGGGCAGGGCGCAGAGTGGTTCGGGCTGGCCTGGCGCTGTACGGGGCGGACAGCGACGGACGGAGACAATGCAAGTCGCGCGCTGCCATGCATGCGAAGCGGGCCCCGGGCCTCCAGAGAGGGCTCGTCGGGAGCCCTCCACCCAGCCTGCCGGATACCGCGGAGGGAGCACAGCAGCTCCCCAGGCAGGTCAGACCCGCGCCCCCCACCACCGGGGTTGGGGAGAGCCCCGCCCAAGGGAGCGGTACTGGGCACCCCCCACCTCAACAGAGCCCCCTCCCAGGGCCTCGGAGACAATGGAGCGAGCGAGCACCAGGGGCCTAGTCCCCCGCTTCCTGTGCCTCGCCACCGCACGCCCCTTGCCCGGCCTGGCGGCGCTGCCCTGTGGGCGCTCCTGACCGGAACAGGGCGGCGGGGAGCCCCGGGAGCCAACGGCTCGGGCACCCGGGAACTGGCGCGGCTGAGGCAGAGCCAGCCAGTGGTGGGGGCAGTAGCAGCCCCGGGAGCGGGAGAACCGGATCGCCCTGCTCTAGCCCCCGCCCTACGCCACAGCGCGACCACTCACCTCGCCGGTCAGCCGCCGCGGAAGCGGGAGGCCACCAGTTACCGCCCCCTGGCCGGGCCCGAAGGAGTTAAAGGGAAGGGTCAGGCAGGACCGTCCCATTCATTAGTCGGGCGCTTTGTCTCCAGCTGCCGCCGCCGCCGCGACGCTGATCGGCTCCCCCGGCTCGGCCGCCACAGCGCACACCGCGCATGCGCCACGGGCGGGGGCGGGGCCGAGGCACGCAGCGGAACGAAACTCAACGGCACCACGTACGGCGCGTAACGTGTCGTCGTACAGGCAAAGCGATGCAAAATGGCCGTTTCAGGAGGCTCTGGGTCTGGCTCCAGCGTGAGCGCGCATGGGACGTGTGGGGCGCTGAACGGTTACTAGGCTCTGCGCAGAGCCGCGCCCTCTTCCTTAGCAGAGGAGGGCGGTGAGTGAGACTAGGTCCCTGGCTGGCAGCGGCTGGCACCGACCGCACGGCGGCCCCGTCTCTACGGGGTTTCCTGGGCTTCGGTGGGCGCCTGACGGAGCTGGCCTGGGTGGGGCTCCCGTTGACTGCGCTGAAAGGGGAGGACTCTCCCCGCCTCATGCAAGTGTGGAGGTTGCTAAAGGGCGACACCCGCCCGGAGCACCGCTGTAGCGTCGGGGATGGGGAACTTCGCTGGGCCCGGGGTCTCATCCGCAGATGGCATCTGGCATAGGAGCGCTCACAGGTGTCTTCTCACGAGAGCTTTATATCCGGCCCCGAGCACGGCTCCCGCTCTGCACAGCTCTATCCATAGGCTAGGGTCTAATCTGCAGTATGTTCATCACTTACTCGCCAAAGCCCTGTGTTCATGGTCAGATCCCAAGTAGCGCGCTTTCCCACCACAAACAGAGCTTCACCATATATATTCATCCCCCAAATATGCATATTATCCAACGTAGTTATGGTTTCACTATTCATTTACAGATATATCACACTACACTTTACACTTACATTGAATATGATCCAATCATGTGTTTTCGGATGTAATCCACAGTGTGCCAAAAATAAGAATTATGCTCACCATGTTTTGGGGGTAAAATACCTAATAAATCTAGCTCTAATTTGGGAGAGTTTTTTTGTTCAGACTAGTAGTCTTAACTCTGATACATTTGCTCCCTTCAAGCATTTGGGGATCTCCAGAACACACATCTTCAGCTTCTGAGATTGACACAATGCAACTATAGGCGCTGCATGACCTATGTTGATCCAGACAGTCCTCCACAGCATCTGTCCCACTCCATGACAGTGACCACTCTGGTCACAACTGTAAACTCCACTGCTGAGGGTCACAGAGGCTGAAAGCCAACTTCTGCTTAAAACCCTCCATGTGTTTTTGCAATTCCTTTTTTTGATTGTACATCTTGACAGCTCATCTAGCAGTGTTCTCTTGTTGTGTGCAACTGACCATGTCAGCTCCACATACTAAACATGCTCCTGCCAGGAGTACACAGGAGGTATTCACTCACTTAGGCCTGTGGGGAGAAGAGGCTGTGCAAACACAGTTATGGACTAGCCATAGAACTGTGGACATCTACAAACAGATTGCATGCACTCAACACCATAGGTGCCGACTCTGTGGATGCTCCGGGGCTGGAGCACCCATGGGGAAAAATTGGTGGGTGCTCTGCACCCACCAGCAGCCAAGCTCCCTGCCTCAGCTCACCTCTGCCTCCTCCCCTGAGCTTGCTATGTCCCCACTTTTCCTCCCAGTGCTTGCCACAACAAAACAGCTGTTTCACAGCATAGCAAGCTGTGGGAGGGAGAGGGGAGGAGGCAGGGCCTGGGTGGGGATTTAGGGAAGAAGTCCAATAGGAGCAGGGAGTTGGAGCGGGGACTTTGGGGAATGGTTGGAATGGGGGCGGGGCAGGGTGGAGACAGGGCGGGGGGGGAGGGGGTTGAGCACGCACTGGTGCCAGGAGAAGTTGGCACCTATGCTCAACACCTGATGCTTTGTGATAATGGAATAGAGACAATGGCTGTGCTCTGGAGCCACGTGTGGCTCTTCAGAAGTTAATATGTGGCTCCTTGTATAGGCACCAATTCCGGGCGCTGGAGCTACAGGCGCCAACTTTCCAATGTGCTCACTGCTCAACCCTGGCTCTGCCACAGGCCGTACACCCACTCCACCCCTTCCCACCCCCTCCCCTGAGCCTGCCAAGCCCTCAATCCTCCCTCTCCCCCCCCCCCCCGCCAGAGCCTCCTGCACACCAGGAAACAGCTGATTGGAAGGTGCGGGGAGGGAGGGGGAGGCACTGATCGGCTGGGCTGCCAGTGGGCGGGAGGCACTGGGGGCCAGGCGGGGGGGGGGGAGCGATGACATGGTCTATGTCCCAAAACATTGGACAGTTTTATTACATGGTGGTTACTTTAACTTTAAGCATGTGAGAGAAGACTGGTGACTGGTGTGTGTTTGTGCTGGAAATGGCCCACCTGATGATCACTTTAGATAAGCTATTACCAGCAGGACAGTGGGGTGGGAGGAGGTATTGTTTCATATTCTCTGTGTATATATAAAGTCTGCTGCAGTTTCCACGGTATGCATCTGATGAAGTGAGCTGTAGCTCACGAAAGCTCATGCTCAAATAAATTGGTTAGTCTCTAAGGTGCCACAAGTACTCCTTTTCTTTTTGCGAATACAGACTAACACGGCTGTTACTCTGAAACCTGTCATTATGCAAGGCACTGCATTTAGCCGTATGGAGTGGAAATCTATCAACTGCATGAAAAAACTTGTACAGATACAGACAGACATCATCTTCCTTTCCAAATGCAAACAGATGGACATCGTACCAAAAAAGGACTGAAGGTAAAAAATCCATTACAATCTACATACCACACAGACTATGCTGACAGCTTGTGCCACACGCTCTCAAAGACACTGCGGAATCACCTGATCAACATCCTCTACAGCAAACAGGGAAAGATTAAGAATGAGCTCTCAAAAATGGATACTATCATAAAAAACCAACCTTCCACACAAACTTCCTCGTGGCTGGATTTTACTAAAACTAGACAAGCCATTTACAACGCACACTTTGCTTCTCTACAAAAGAAAAAGGACACTAAACTTTCTAAACGACTACATGCTACAAGGGGCCACAGCAATGGTTCCCTCAACCCACCTAGCAATATTGTTAACCTATCCAACTATACTCTCAGCCCAGCAGAAGCAGCTGTTCTATCTCGGGGCCTCTCCTTCTGCCCCTCCACCCCCACAAACATGATACAGTTCTGTGGTGACCTAGAATCCTATTTTCGACGTCTCCGACTCAAGGAATATTTCCAAAATACCTCTGAACAACATACTAATCCACAGAGGTCTCCCTACCAACACTACAGAAAGAGGGATTCTAGATGGACTCCTCCTAAAGGTCGAAACAGCAGACTGGACTTCTACATAGAGTGCTTCCGCCGACGTGCACGGGCTGAAATTGTGGAAAAGCAGCATCACTTGCCCCATAACCTCAGCCGTGCGGAACGCAATGCCATCCACAGCCTCAGAAACAACTCTGACATCATAATCAAAAAGGCTGACAAAGGAGGTGCTGTTGTCATCATGAATAGGTCGGAATATGAACAAGAGGCTGCTCGGCAGCTCTCCAACACGAGTTTCTACAAGCCATTACCCTATGATCCCACTGAGAGTTACCAAAAGCAACTACAGCATTTGCTCAAGAAACTTCCTGAAAAAGCACAAGATCAAATCCGCACAGACACACCCCTGGAACCCCGACCTGGGATATTCTATCTTCTACCCAAGATCCATAAACCTGGAAATCCTGGGCGCCCCATCATCTCAGGCATTGGCACCCTGACAGCAGGATTGTCTGGCTATGTAGACTCCCTCCTCAGGCCCTACGCTACCAGCACTCCCAGCTACCTTCGAGACACCACAGACTTCCTGAGGAAACTTCAATCCATCGGTGATCTTCCTGATAACACCATCCTGGCTACTATGGATGTAGAAGCCCTCTACACCAACATTCCACACAAAGATGGACTACAAGCCGTCAAGAACACTATCCCCGATAATGTCACGGCTAACCTGGTGGCTGAACTTTGTGACTTTGTCCTTACCCATAACTATTTCACATTTGGGGACAATGTATACCTTCAGATCAGCGGCACTGCTATGGGTTCCCGCATGGCCCCACAGTATGCCAACATTTTTATGGCTGATTTAGAACAACGCTTCCTCAGCTCTCGTCCCCTAAAGCCCCTACTCTACTTGCGCTATATTGATGACATCTTCATCATCTGGACCCATGGAAAAGAAGCCCTTGAGGAATTCCACCATGATTTCAACAATTTCCATCCCACCACCAACCTCAGCCTGGTCCAGTCCACACAAGAGATCCACTTCCTGGACACTACAGTGCTAATAAACAATGGTCACATAAACACCACCCTATACCGGAAACCTACTGACCGCTATTCCTACCTGCATGCCTCCAGCTTTCACCCTGACCACACCACACGATCCATCGTCTACAGCCAAGCTCTGCGATACAACCGCATTTGCTCCAACCCCTCAGACAGAGACAAACACCTACAAGATCTCTGTCAAGCTTTCTTACAACTACAATACCCACCTGCAGAAGTAAAGAAACAGATTGATAGAGCCAGAAGAGTTCCCAGAAGTTACCTACTACAGGACAGGCCTAACAAAGAAAATAACAGAACGCCATTAGCGGTCACCTTCAGCCCCCAACTAAAACCCCTCCAATGCATTATTAAGGATCTACAACCTATCCTAAAGGATGACCCAACACTCTCACAAGTCTTGGGAGACAGGCCAGTCCTTGCCTACAGACAGCCCCCCAACCTGAAGCAAATACTCACCAACAACCACATACCACACAACAGAACCACTAACCCAGGAATCAGATTTCAGAGTAACAGCCGTGTTAGTCTGTATTTGCAAAAAGAAAAGGAGTACTTGTGGCACCGTAGAGACTAACCAATTTATTTGAGCATGAGCTTTCGTGAGCTACAGCTCACTTCATCGGAGCCCGTTGCCAATTGTGCCCACATATCTATTCAGGGGACACCATCACAGGGCCTAATAACATCAGCCACACTATCAGAGGCTCGTTCACCTGCACATCCACCAATGTGATATATGCCATCATCTGCCAGCAATGCCCCTCTGCCATGTACAGTGGTCAAACTGGACAGTCTCTACGTAAAAGAATAAATGGACACAAATCAGATGTCAAGAATTATCACATTCATAAACCAGTCGGAGAACACTTCAATCTCTCTGGTCACGCAATCACAGACATGAAGGTCGCTATCTTAAAACAAAAAAACTTCAAATCCAGACTCCAGCGAGAAACTGCTGAATTGGAATTCATTTGCAAATTGGATACTATTAATTTAGGCTTAAATAGAGACTGGGAGTGGCTAAGTCATTATGCAAGGTAGCCTGTTTCCTCCTGTTTTTTCCTACCCCCCCAGATGTTCTGGTTTAACTTGGATTTAAACTTGGAGAGTGGTCAGTTTGGATGAGCTATTACCAGCAGGAGAGTGAGTTTGTGTGTGTATGGGGGTGGGGGGATGTGAGAAAACCTGGATTTGTGCAGGAAATAGCCCGACTTGATTATGTAAAGAGTTGTCACTTTGGATGGGCTAGCACCAGCAGGAGAGTGAATTTGTGTGGGGGAGTGGAGGGTGAGAAAACCTGGATTTGTGCTGGAAATGGCCCACCTGATGATCACTTTAGATAAGCTATTACCAGCAGGACAGTGGGGTGGGAGGAGGTATTGTTTCATATTCTCTGTGTATATATAAAGTCTGCTGCAGTTTCCACGGTATGCATCCGATGAAGTGAGCTGTAGCTCACGAAAGCTCATGCTCAAATAAATTGGTTAGTCTCTAAGGTGCCACAAGTACTCCTTTTCTTTTTGCGAATACAGACTAACACGGCTGTTACTCTGAAACCTGTGTGTCTCTTGTCTTTGCTCTACCCCTACTCCCGGCAACTATCTCCTGCACCATATAACACCCTCTCCGCCACCAATTCCAGGTCACCTACCCCTTTCCGTTCCATTAAGACATTACATCTTCAGAAGCCAGGTGTGCATAAAAAAGTTTGTAGAAACTGTGAACTTTAAGAAAAGCTGTTTTTTCTGGGAGGTTTTATCTCAGGAACCTCTTGCTCAAATGATCCCAAATTTATATCAGCAATCATATTAGACAGAAAATTTCAAGACAATACAACTAAGCATGCAGATTTCAGAACACTTAGAAAACTCAACCTTTAATCAGAAAAGTTTTCTCAATCTTAGGGCATGTTTACACTGGCAGAGTCACAGCGCCGGGAGTTACAGCACCGCTCAGACAGCACTGAAGGGAAACCGCTGTTGTGTGTTCACACCGTAAGCTGCCTGCACACTAGTGTGTTCACTTGCGGCACTTGAAGCGGTATTCGGAGCGGTGCACTCTGGGCAGCTATCCCACAGAGCACCTCTTTCTCTTCTGCTGCTAAGAGTTGTGGGAAGGTGGAGGGGGTTGTGGGGCATCCTGAGTCCTGTCCCAGTGCCCTGTGATACATTGCTTTGCATCCCAGCAATCCCTGTGCTTCCGTCCACATGTGGCGCCATCTTTCAACGGTGTGTGTATTGCATGCCCTGCCTCTTCAGGCTGCAGGAATGGATCCCGAACTGTTGACCAATATGCTGCTCCTTCTGACCAACACATCAGGAGTGGCAGTGGAGTTATTCCTTAGTCTATAAAGGCAAGAGGAGAGCGACATGGATTTCGCCACGCATAGTAGCTACAACACGAGATTGCTTGTTGCATTCACGGAGGTGCTGACCACAGTGGAACTCCACTTTTGGGCTCGGGAATCAAGCACTGAGTGGTGGGATCACATCGTAATGCATGTCTGGGATGACGAGCAGTGGCCGAAGAACTTTCGGATGAGGAAAGTCAAATTCATGGGACTGTGTGATGAGCTTGCCCCAACCCTGCAGCTCAAGGACACAAGAATGAGAGCTGCTGTGCCATTGGAGAAGCACGTGACGATTGCACTGTGGAAGCTGGCTACGACAGACTGCTACTGATGGGTTGCAAACCAGTTCGGAGTAGGAAAGTCAGCTGTTACACTCGTGTTGACGGAAGTCTGCAGGGCCATTAATTGCATCCTGCTCCGAAAGACTGTGACTCTGGGCAACATGCGTGACATTGTGGATGGCTTTGCACAAATGGGCTTCCCTAACTGCGGAGGGGCAATGGATGCCACACATATTCCAATTCTGGGACCAGACCACCTAGTCACTGAGTACATTAATCGCAAAGGGTATTTCTCAGTGGTTCTCCAGGCACTTGTGGATCACCAGGGACATTTCATGAACATTAACGCTGGTCCAGAAAGGTGCATGACGCACGCATCTTTCGGAACACTGTCTTGTTCAGGAAGCTGCAAGCAGGGACTTTCTTCCTGGACCAGAAGATCACCGTAGGGGAGTCGAAATGTCCATTGTGATCCTGGGAGACCCTGCCTACCCCTTAATGCCATGGCTTATGAAGCCACACACGAGCCACCTTGACAGCAGCAAGGAGTGATTCAACAACAGGCTGAACAAATGCAGAATGATTGTTGAGTGTGCTTTTGGCCATTTAAAAGTCCGCTGGCATTGCCTCTATGGGAAGCTGGACCTGGCCAATGACAATATTCCTATGCTTATAGCCGTGTGCTGTATGCTCCATAATATTTGCGAAGGGAAGGGTGAAAGCTTCACTCAGGGCTGGACCACAGAGGCTTGTTAGAGAGCTTATTCCTTCACTCTCCCACTTCCCTGGTCCTTCTCGCATGAACAGAGAGCAACAATACCCGAAGTCCGAAGGTACAAACAATTCAATGTTTATTGGGGTGAACTTCCAGCAAGCTTAAATCCAAATTCCTTTTTCCTTATTTTCGAATCCCCACTTACTTCCTGTTTGCCCCTAATTTATATAGTAATATTCTTAGCTATACCTCAACCAATCATTCTACTGAAATTTAACTAACCAATCCTAACATATTGTAACATGATTAGCTAACCAATTATATCCCACCACCTTAATTAGTTTACACCCAGCAAAATTAATTATACAGCAGACAGAAACAATCACAGAACCAGACAGAGACCATGCAAATAAACAATAGCAAAGTGGGAACTATAATGACAAAACAATATAGAAGTGAGAATTTCACAACTACGTCTATAAAGACATAAGGGTTTTCCAGCTGTGTCTATTGATAAGTGAGTTCTTACCAGACAGAAAACTATCAACCTAAATTTCCTTTTACATCTTCTAGGCTCTACCCTTTCTCTGGAGGTGATAGATCAGATCACCTTCCTAACAGCCCCATATTGATTAGTTTGGAATGTGAAGATGTGACCGTACGCTTCCCAGCTTATGGCTGCCTCTGCTGCTTAGCCAAAGGCATTGGCCTAAGAACAGGGCCTCAGACTGTCACAGTGAGAGAAGGCCCTTACACAGATTCTTTCTTGTATACCTCTATTACTAGCTAAATGATAAACATAAACCTACATTCTTAGAGTATAGGCCTTTACAGACAGGCCTGAATATCTATATCCTAACAAGGCTCAGCGCCTGGAGGCTGAATTTGAACAGCCAGAGACCAGGGCTATTAGAGGGGCGCAGCACAGGGCCATAAGCATCAGGGATGCTTTGAGGCAGCAATTTGAAGCTAAAAGACACTCATATTTATTACTATGCTCCGGAGTGCAGTGCTTGGAATGCTAGGTGGTGATAGGTGCAGACAATGCAGTATGTGGGTTTAACATAATTGTATGTTGCTTTGTAGGGCTCTTTTTGCTTTCAATTAATAGAATAAAGATTGCTTTCAAACCAACACAATTCTTTTACTAAAAAAAAAACAGCAGGAGGAGAGAGTCAAACCAAAAAAACCCATCAGCAGTGAAGGGAAGGTCCCAGGAGGAGGAGATCCCGGGGTGCCTAAAGATTTGTGTACATCCAGGGATCACATCCAACCTTCTCCTTTGGAGTACAATGCAGCGGGTACTGTGCTTCAGCAGGGCCAAACTGCAGAGGGATGGGTGTTGAGTGCAATGGGTAGTGGGAGTCCGCAGTGCTGGACTGTAAGGGGGTAGGAGTGGAATGCAGCGTGTATAGGCTGGAGCCAGGAGGTTGATAAGAGTGTGTTGGCGGTGTCAGGGGAGAGCATGGGAAAGAGTTTTGCCACAGTGGCAGGGGAGGGCGGGCGTGGAGCTGCGCGCTTTGAAGAGCTAGTATTGCCTGGAGCGTGTCAGCTTGGCACTCCATAGCCTTTAAGAACCGCTCCGTGGCTTCATACTGGACTGTTGCATTCTCCTTTCCGTCCCTCTTCTCGCTATCCCACCGCTCCTTCAATTCCTGTTTCTTGACAGCAGAGTGCATCACATCATCAGGCAGAAAGTCCTCCTTAGTTCTTCTTGGCCACTTTCTAATTCTGTGAAGCCATTCAGCCGCCGAAAACAAAGGGGGAGGCTGGGCTCCCAAGGTCATCTCTGTGAAGTTTAAACACAACATTTTACAGAAGTAGTATTGTTTGCAACACAGAGAACACTGATTCAGTGATTTAAAACACAGCCACTATTCACACACCTGTCACTAACTGGCTGACCCCAAGCAAGCACACAGGAGCCACAAGACCCCCAGAATGGTGAGTAGCCCCAGGGGAAGAGTAAATCACTCTTCCCGCACCGTGTTATACGGGAAATGGGCTAGTACTTTAGGAGGGGCCACATAATCGTTACTGTCCCCACACTTTCCATAGGATGTGATCATTATGGAAGACATCTCGCTGCTGAGGGTCAGCAGGGAATCAAGGGACGGTCGTCTCCAAGACTGTGGCTTCTGCCCTGGCCCCTGTGTGGCTTGCCTGTGTGTAGCAATGGTCCTCAACCCCCTGTGATGGCACAGTGGCCCGGGAAAGTTACTGTTAATGGGGCAAGAAACAAAGCAGCTCTACCGAAGAACCTGCGGCAGCGAATTGCCCAGTATCTCCACAAGAGTTTCCTGGAGACCTCTGAGGGAGATTCCTGTGAAGTGAGGGAGTCAATCAAAACTGTTCCGCTGCTCAGTCTAGGCATGTGATGGGAGACAAGCCTGCTTTCTGCAACTCTCCTTCACCCAACAACTCGCTTCAGCAATTCCACTTACCAGGAACCTCCTCTCCAGTTTGCGCTTCGCCAGCATCTGATAGTTGTGACTGGCTAGCCTACTCTGGGGTAGAAAAGAGATCCTGGCTGCATGCATCTCTGACCTCCGAGTCATCCTCTGCCATCCTCGGCCCCCACACATCCTCCTCCAAGATTTTCTCCTCCTGGCTCGATCCACTTTCAACTGGCATGCGAGCCACCGAAGTATCCACAGTGGCCTTCACAATGGAGGTGGGGTTGTCATCGAGTTTTGCATCCAGATCTTCGTAGAATCGGCAGCTTGTGGGTGCAGCACCAGAGCAGCGGTTTTCCTCCTGCACCTTATGGTAGGTGTTCCACAGCTCCTTCACTTTGACCCTGCATTGCAATGTGTCCCAGTCATGGCGCCTTTCTGTCATGCATCATGAAATCTTTTTCATAGGAATCATAATTCCTACGGCTGGAGCACAGCTGGGACTGGATAGCCTTCTCTCCCCAAATTCTGATGAGGTCCAGCAGCTCGGCATTGATCCAAGCAGGGGATCTTCTGGTGTGTAGAGCAGGCATGATCACCTGGAAAGATGCACTGAGACCACTGCACGCATCACCGAGCAAACAGCACGGGGACTTTCAAAATTCCAAAGGAATTTATAGGGTGGGGATGACGGTTGGTCACCTGAGGGCAGGGCAG